TCCATCATAATTATCCCACCATTTGTTGAAAAGTTTCTCATAAATTCTATAACCTCTAGACTTTGCATACTCTCTGACAAGACGAGACTTTCCCGTGGCAGATGGACCATATATCCAGGCATTTTTTGAAGATAGTTCACCGTCATAAACAAAATCAGTCTTTGGAATAAATCTTTGGAAAAATCGTTCATATCTACAATACATCAAGCACGCTCTATCAATAGTTCCATTTTTAGCTTCTTGGACCATCTGTTTGAAGGTGTCACCAATACCGGTATGAGGAGCAGTGCCATCCTCATAAATAATGTTTCCTTCTTTAATTACATATTCCCGGGCTTGCTGAAAAGTGCCTCGAACAATTTGAATATTAGCTCTCGGGAAAATTCTTTTAATGGTAGATCAACGTTTGGCTGCATTAAACAACACTAAGCAGTGGATATGAGGAGTACCGGTAGTTGGAGCAATTTCTTGGGCAATAATGATATATTTATAATCCAAAGCCTTAAGCGAATATATTTCATTACTATTTGGGTTATTTATAGTAATAAAATATCTTCTGGCTTGGGTAGCAGCATTAGCAACAGGATCAGCAACAAGTGCGACACGCGACATGTGGATTGGTAATATATTCTAATAAAACAGAATAAACAAATAAATAACAAGAAACAAAGAAATAACAAGATAGAAGTGACATTAAGAAATAAAAAGGAATGATAAATAACAAATAAATGAATAGAAAGAAAATGAATAGAAAGAATGAAATGAATAAATTAAAAAGAAAAATAAGAACTTAATAATAAATATGAGATGTAATAAAATAACAAAATAATAAAAAGAAAAACTTAAAAATAACAAAAATGGGAATAACACAATCAACACCAAATAACAAATCAAATGACAAAATAAAAGAAATAATCAAACAAATAGAAGAATTAACAGAAAAAAGAATAAACAATATACTATTTGATTCAGATAAAGATAATTGGAATAAAAATACATCAGTATTTAAATAAAGAATAAAGAACATATAATAATTATTATTGAAGATTCAAAAGGAAATCAATTTGGAGGATATGTTAATTCTAAAATTGATAAAGATGAAAGTTATATAAAAGATTCACAATCATTTTTATTTTCATCAGAATCAAATGGAAGAATTGAAGGAATGAAGAAATTTAATATCGAACAACAACAACGTGCATTTTATTTATATAATCAATCAGATGATTGTTTATTTGAATTTGGATATGGATATAGAGGTGATATTTGTGTTTATAAAGAAAATTATAAAACAAAATCATGGTGTTATCAAA